CAAATCGGGATTGGTACTTTCTCTTACCGCCATCGGAGAGGCAAAACCCGAAGAAATCGTTTATAGAAAAGGAGCAAAACCTACAGACCTTTTAGTCGTAACTGGAGATTTAGGAGGAGCATTTATGGGGTTAAAAGCCTTGCAACGAGAAAACGTAACTTTCCAAGCCAACCCTCAACATCAACCCGATTTAACTCCCTACGAATATGTGGTTCAACGACAATTAAGACCCGAAGCACGAACCGATATTAAACAAGTATTAAAAGATTTGGAGGTTAAACCTACTTCTATGATTGACATTTCCGATGGACTTTCTTCCGAAGTACTTCATTTAGCTAAAAACAGCGGAGTGGGAATCCAGGTGTATGAAGAAAAAATTCCGATGGATAACCAAGTGATTCATACCGCAGATGAATTTCACCTCAATCCGGCTATGGCAGCCTTAAATGGAGGAGAAGATTATGAACTTTTAATGACCATTCCTCTTTCCGATTACGATAAAATAAAGAATCATTTGGATTTCACGGTAATAGGACATGTTACCGAAGAAGGCTCTCCAAGTTATTTAGTTACACGAGGGACGAATGAATTGGTAGAACTAACCGCTCAAGGGTGGGATACAACCACGACAAGTTAATCCTAATAAGACCGCCTATTTTATAGTATTAAAAAAAAGTAAAAAAAAATTTGGTCATCTCAAAAATTAACATTAATTTTACATTGTAATAAAATTAAGTTAATATTTAAAAAATAATAAAAAGATGACAACAACTAATTTATTTAAAGCAGTAGCGGTGTTAGGAGTAATTTTAATTTCAAATTTCAGTTTTGCTCAAGAGTTAGCACACGTAGAAATAAAGGCGACTAATTATTCAAAAGTAATAAACGATCTTTCCAATCGAATGGACTATCCGGAGATTGCTTCAAATAATTTAGAGGAAGGAGTTGTAACGATGAAATTTGTTTTAAATGCTGCCTATGGAATCGAAAGAATGGAAATGATTGGAGAAACCGGCGAGGAACTTAAAACGGCAACTCAAAAATCATTAGTACGATACATCAGCGAAAAAGGAAGTTCTTTACAGCCTCATGTGGTTTATGAAATTCCCGTAAAATATGTTTTAGAATAAAAATTTGCTGCTCAAAGACAAATAAATATTTTTGTTTTGTTAGAAACCTTCAGTTGTGTCAAAATTTACTGAAGGTTTTTTTTATAGGATATAAGTAAAAAATACAATTAATTTTCTATTTTTGCGAGGATTTTATGGAAATTCAAGCCCTTCAAAAACAAGTAGATTTGTGGATACAAGAACACGGAGTTCGGTATTTTAATGAATTGACCAATATGGCTATTCTTACGGAAGAAGTAGGGGAAGTGGCTCGTATAATTGCACGACGCTACGGAGAGCAATCCGAAAAAGAATCGGATAAAACAAAAGATTTAGGAGAAGAATTAGCCGATGTACTCTTTGTGGTCTTATGTTTAGCCAATCAAACCCACACCGATTTAGGAACTGCTTTTGAAAATAAAATGAAATTAAAAACGCAACGAGATAAAGAACGACATAAAAATAATAAAAAACTACACCCCTAACTTATGATTTTAACCTCAAAAGACAAAAATATTTATGCAGAGATTCAATTAGGAGGCTCGAAAAGTATTTCTAATCGGCTGCTTATTTTAAATGCCTTATTTGAAAATAAAATTACTCTTAAAAATCTATCCGATGCGGAAGATACCGATTTATTAAAACAGGCACTTGAAACGGACAACGAAGTTGTAGATATTCATCATGCCGGAACTGCCATGCGTTTTCTCACGTCTTATTTATCTCTTTTAAAAAAAGAAAAAATACTTACCGGCTCCGAGCGAATGAAACAACGTCCCATCGGGATTTTAGTAGATGCCCTTCGTTCTATGGGTATTTCTATTGATTATTTAGAAAATCAAGGTTTTCCCCCTTTAAAAATACATCCTTCCTCTTTTAAAACAAATAAAGTACAAATGCAAGCGGATACCTCCAGTCAATACCTTACTTCCTTGATGCTTATCGGAGCAAAACTTCCCGAAGGCTTGGAATTGGAGTTGATAGGGACAATTACTTCCTTGCCTTATTTAGAAATGACTTTGACGATGTTAAACGAGTTAGGAATAGAAGCAAAGCGGGAAGGAAACCTCATTACTATTCTTCCGAAAAAAGAATGTAATTCTCAAAATTTTACCATCGAATCCGATTGGAGTTCTGCTTCTTACTTATATTCACTTGCCGCTCTTTCCGAAAATTGTAGAATAGAAGTGTCTTATCTTTTTGAAAAAAGTTTACAAGGAGATAGGCGAGTAGCGGATATTTATCGAGAAAATTTCGGAGTAGAGACCGACTTCCGGAAAGAAAAAATTGTTCTTACCAAAATACCCAATTTTACCTATCCCAAAAAAATAGAACTCAATCTGAATGATTGCCCTGATGTCGCACAAACCATTGCAGTTACAGCAGCAGCCCTCCGCATCCCTACTTTACTTACGGGACTTCATACCTTAAAAATAAAAGAAACCGATAGAATTACTGCCCTTCATAATGAACTAAAAAAGTGCGGAGTAGAAACCCTTCCTACACAAGATTCTTTGGAACTTATCTCTTTTACTTCTCCTTCTTCTCGTCCAAGTATTGACACGTATAATGATCATCGTATGGCGATGGCTTTTACTCCTTTGGCTCTTTTTTATCCCATAGAAATTAAAAATGAGCAGGTAGTAGAAAAATCCTATCCTCA